TGATGGCATTTATTTATATTTTTTGTATTTTTGGTCATAATTTAGATTTCGGCACTAGCTCAGGGTCTATTAGCTTTTGAGATTTTAACTAAGTAAAAATGGAAACCGGGCTTAGTAAATATTTCCCATTTGTTATTGTCTGTGCGAACAAAGTTACTGAGGATTTGAATAACATGTGGTTTTGACTTATTTCCATTTATACAAGACAGTCTCGGTACCTAAAACGTTATCACCATAAAATAATTTAAAATCTCTTAATTTTTTTTTTGCTAAATAGTCAACCAAAAAATACCGGCTAAATCTTCCGACGATCCCTAGCTCACGTTCATCTTCACATCTCCATCGACGGTCATTAATCTGCCCACGTTTTGTAAATAGCCAGCTTAAAACTCAACTAATTGCTCGCCACACTTAATTTATTTTTGTAAAATATCTTTTAGCTTGTCCGAAAAACGAAGCAATTACAAATTATACGAAAAAAAGAGCGATACGACAGGCGCTCGTTCCACTTGAGAAGTGTTGAGCTCCAATTAGCGGCAGACAATTGGCAATAAGCCGGCTACTCGCACATTTCATAGCTGATTTTATTTTTTATTTTACTTAAAACATCAACAATGGCAACCTTGACATTGGGCTTGGCAGGTGGGGGAAAAGATGTGCAACGACTTGGAAAGTTAACAACAATGGCAAAACCTCGACGGAATGTTAAACAAACTAAGCCGAAACGGTTAACTGTTTAAATATTTGAACGTGTCTGTATTGCATGCCAAAATATGCAAAGCGAACAGATACCACAACTGTAAATAAACAAATCAAGAAACAGAGCTGTGAAAAATGAATCACCGAACAAGTTTCGGACAGAGAATAATATCATTTAGATGCGAGATGAGCTCACATCCCGGGGCGATGAATGCCGTTAATAGACATCGCAAACGAGTTAACAAATGGATATGCAAAAATAAATAAAAACTAAAACGGGCAAAGAATATTTACATTAAATTTATCTTACCTTGTTGGTTGTCTGCTGTGGATTCAGTTTGATCGGTTGATTTTTGAGCACATGCACAGATAGGCAAACAATAACATTGACAGATTTGGCCTGAGCACTTTATTAGATTTTCAAATTGCTTGCATGTTATAATCACTTTAGTTTCATTAAGTTGAGTTTACTGCACTATAAAAACCGTTGAGAACTTCTGGTTAAAGTTTTGAAAGCTTTCCCTTTGCCAAGCCCACTGCTATCAATAAAATGTTATTTTTGATCGCTACCGCGGTTTCACTCTGGCCCAGCTGGAAAAGCGTTTAGCAACTCGAAGTCTTCTCCTTACTGTTGGCTTTTCCAACGAGTCATAAGTCAGGCCAAGACTTTCAATTAAGCGGCTTAAAGACAAACAACGGCAAACGAATCGTGTATGTCGGGTGGGTAATAGAGAAAAGATGCTTATGAGCCGTATGTAAAGAGTATCTATGTATCTATGTATCTTTCCGTCTTCTTTCTCTTTGGTAAAAGTGTAAAAATTACGCTACGACTTGCGCTTTCACAAAACTAACAAAAAACGAAGCGGAGATTTTTTCTTCTTTCCGTCGCTGATTTATGCACTGCGTTTGCGATGAGGATGGAGTGATATTCGTAGATACATTGCCTGGAAAACATCCACACACGACTCGATCGGCAGGGCGACTGTCTGATTTCGGGTACTCTGCCATACCTTGAGTTCCGGGTTGAATGCGCAAAAAACCTCACTACCTCTTGCTTTTTTATTCGGCTTTGGCTTAAATTCAAATTGCCGTTCGATTTAAAATAAATTAAAATACACGCACAGTTGCGCAGCCACAATGGATGCCCAGTGTGTGTGAAAGTACAAGAAGCGGCGGCAGCAAACAAAAAAAAAAAAAAACAATCAAAGTGGAAAACGTCGCCCATTTGAAAATGGAAAATTGTCAACGCACATTGAACTTGACAGACAAAAGAGAGCGCACATATACAGAAGGAAAGACAGAAAGACAGAGAGAGAGAGAGAGTGAGGCACATGCCTCAATTTACAGTTAAGCGCGGCAGACATCCACAAGATGCAAAACTCCAAAGATACTTTCGGCCAGCGGAATGCGAATCGCGGACGGCGAACCGCGAATTGCACTTGCCGCGGCAACTTTTTCATCCGACCACGAAAAAACAACGACCAGCACGACGAAAAATAATTTATCGACAACAACTTCAAAATGTAAATTTGGGAAGCCTATTACTTTTATTGTTATTTATTTGATTATACAAAAAACACATATATTTCAAAATAAATTTTCTATTTAATTAAATATTTTAAATGCATTTATTTTGCCATATCGTTTATGAAATCTTGTTCTCTCTAAACAATTCATAAAATTTGAGTTTTGGTTCAAAAAAGGCCCGTCATCTAATCAGAGATAGAAGCCTTAAATACTTTATATAAGTTATATATATTCAACAAAATGCTTTTTTTTACTTTTATAACTATAAAAAATTAAATTTTGTAATCGACTCTTGCAAAAAATAATACAAGTACATAAAGTTGACCAACAAATGTCCACTAATGAAAGGATGGGGCCCTTAAAAAAGCTTGATACTCCTAAGAATTTTAAGGTAGTGTTATATCTGCAAGTCATAACATTTTTTTTCTGTGCAACAACAAAAAGTGAAGGGGCCCCCAAAGCAAACGTCACCGAATCCCTTCCCCTTCAATTTCCCCTTGATCCCCCTTTGAATATCTGTATGTGCCTTTAAAGATCAGAGTGTGTTTGTGGCGTCTCGTTTGTTGATGCGGTGGCTAATGGCTGCATATATTCGTATGCGAAAAAAATAAAGAAATGTATGGACAAGGCCTGTCTAGTCATAGCGGTACTCTGAGTGGGCCCCCACGAGGGGGAAGGGGGTAAACGGGAGGAGGGGTTGGGGGGGCAGGGTGGCAGCTAATGACTTGGCGCCCAACCGAAGGAAGTTGCCAATTTCGGCTGCTGGTTAACTAGTCGCAACTGCTGTTGATTAGTTTTGTATTTTTTTAAGGAATTACCTTTCTTTGTTGGATGAAGAAATTTAATGATTTTTTTTTTAAGAAGGAAACTTATCCACTGAATAATTGAGGGTCATGGGGAAAATTACAGCTTTCTTTATGTTACACAGTTGAATTAATACTTATTTTGTGAAATTCCATTATTGGTATTTGAGTTATTTAATTAAAAATGAAAGAATTAACAATTTTTAATTACGAGCCTTGAGATTTATTTATTCTAAATAACTATATTAATTGATTATTTTGATTAATTTAAAAAAATGTTGGCCCCTGAAGAGCAATCTTTAATAGCCAGGTTCAAATATTAAGACTTTCCCATTGGTTGTTAAACTGCTATTTATCGCTTATAAAAATGAGATAATCTTATGAGATCATTTGAAATACGATATGCAATGAAAATCACTGATGTTGATTTAAGGTTTGCATTATGGAATACCATTCAGAAGGTGTTCACAATTTTAATTATCAGGTAACAATGTTATTTTTCAATCATTTTATCACCTTTCAAAATCTTCTAACAAACAACATTTTCAACTAGGTGGTAATTCAAACCACTGAAAAGAATTAAATAAAGGCGTAGCTGATTGTTTACTTTAACTGTGACACGATGACGAATAGTTTTATTTCTTTATAATAATTTACGAATTTTTGTGATTTCCTCTGCATAGAAAATATTCAATATGATTTATTTATTCGCTGGTTTGATCACTTTCCGATTCTCCTAAATCAAACTTTCTTTTCCGCTTGTAAAAAACCATGCAAGCAAATCCCAGTTTCTTGACAGCTATTCGATTTATGCTTCCTCCTCTCATACTAAACCCAAATCGATCAGTTAATCGCATCCACTCTTACGCTTTCAAAGCCATTCCACAATCAATTTACTCAAACACTTTGGCGTAATAATTTTTAAGATCCAGCTCCAGTTAGCAGACCGTTACACAAAAGGCGCACAAACACAAAACACTTGGCAGAGCAGCTCTCCTTACGTTTAACTTTAATTACTCAATTATTTGCCTGATTTTGTTGTTTTTCACTTCTTTAAGTTGGAAATTAGCCGCGAAGTACGCGGACCCAAAACGTATTCCAACTGATTAGAGAGAGCGAGAAGCGGCGAAAAGCACGAAGACGGTTCAGATCGGATCTCGGATCGGATCGGATCGGATGGGAATATATTTATATAAACTATAGAGCGCGCGCGTGTGCGAACGCGCTACGAACCAAACTCAAACTGACGACAGAACTCCACTCCACAAAAATCCACGACCGGTAAACACAAAAATGCAAAGCCAAAACCAAAAGCAAAAGCAGAGACCGCGACAAAGTAAAAGAAAGAAGCGCAAAGTAAATCGGAAACCAGACTTAAAGCTTTCAGAAAGAGAGTCGCGGGAAATCAGCTGACAGAAGCTTTCCAGTTCAGATCCTCAACTCAGTTTCTTTCGATCCGCTTAACATATTTACAGCATTTAAAAATAAAAAAAACTATAAGGTAGCTAAGAATAAAATAAAGTGTAGTAAAACAGGAGACAGTTGTATTGACCTCCTATGCACATTAAAAAAAAAAAAATTCATAAAGGATTTAAAATTATAGTATATTGTAACACATTTGAAATGGATTTTAAATTTATCATAATTGATTTTTTATTATAATCGGTTATGCTTTTTCACCACGTATTCCTTAACAAGTGATACTGAATATTTTCTGGACTGTACAAACATTTTGCCAGATCGCTTGAATTAGATTGAATTAGACTAAATTATATATGTTAGATTTATAAAACTTCTTTAATTTATTATTTTATGATATGTACAGAAGTCCCTTTCCGAACATTGTGTACGATTCGTCATGTACGTAGTCGACCGTTCAGAGGAACTTCACATTAATAACCATGAAATCTGAAGCTATTGAAGTACTTGGAGAATATAATAAGCATTGTACTTGGCCCAGTTATTGCACAGCTTAACAGTTCACAAAACTCCGAAGAAAATACTAAAGATGAATATGAAGGCTTTTATGGCACTATATATTTCAGTCGCTTTTCTTCAATCGTCTGTTCAGGTAACCAAAATAACTTCCTCAAACCGCCAATTCTACTAAAGACAAATATTATAGTATAGTTTATCAGATGCCGATTTGGATGACTTTAAAAAGCTAGGGCAATACTGCCACAAAGAGAAGTTAGCTTTATCAATCAAGAATGACACTACAATTGACAAGTGCGCCCGGCACTGCGTTATGGAAAGGATGGGATTCGTTTCAAATGGCAAGGTTAACATTGATACCCTCATAAAAAAAGGAAATATTTATGCGTACAACGCAGAGCACCAAAAGGCAATAGAGACCCAGTGTCGATCTATCGAGGATGCTCGAAAGTGTGAGGTCGGTTTTCAACTATCGGAGTGTATCCAAGCCACAGGCGATAGGGCAATGAACAAAATACCTGGACTTAACCGTAAATTCAATAAATTAATTCTTCAGAGCCTTCTTGAAAAGTGTCGCTTGAAAAATTTTTTAAGAAACGTTAAGCACCTTTAGAAAATACAGGCAATACTTGATATGTTTTAAAGTATGTCATTTGAGCCAGTCTAGATGTTCTTTGATAATAATAATACTAATACTAAAAAAAATTCAAAAACATTATAGCCACATAGATATTTTCTATTATATTTTAAACATTTTAAAATGTGGTATATGTCTTACAGCTGGTATTGCAAAACTCCAAGTACAGTCTTGATCCCAAAAATAAATACGTTAACAATAAGGCTTTCTGCAAGTTTTCTGTAGTGGCCTATATATAGGTTACAATATGTAAAATGTATAATATAGTTTATTTGATGAAGATTTTTGTGAGCTTAAGACCCTAATGTTTAACTAACAATACTTTCCTGTTCAAACGTTCATATTTCAATATATTTTTTATAACAAAATTATGATATTTTCCTCGGTTATTTTTATTAAACTGAAAACTTGTTAAAAGTAATAAAGGAAAAACTAATTTACTTCACCATGAAAATATTTCTCATCTGAGATGCGTGATAATTATTAGAAACCTCTATCTCTAAAACTCGATTTTTGCTTATTCCAATCACAGATTACTTTTCTTATCTTGTTAAATTGATTGTATTTCTTTCAAAATGTTTATATCATTTATTTCGAAATGTTTTCTAAATGTGTATATACATTTTTTTTAATACTCAATGTGAGCTATTTGACCACGAGTAATGAGTCCACTGTCGCTACTGAGTCTGGCCTTGACTTCTCATCGACTTTTAAGTGTTTGGACTGTAGGGAGGAAAACAAAGGAATGTGTCGTATAGAAGACACCGGATATAGTTGTTATACAGGACCACATTTTAGGAACAGTACAAACTTAAAGTATTCCTTTCCCAAAACATCCACCAATTTGGATGTTTGCATTCCAACCGGCATTAACATCGGTAAAGAAAGCATGCAACTTTTACTTAACAAACTTCTAAAAATCTTTAAAATTCCAGAGAGTGAGGATGCAAAAATATGCTGTATTTGGTCCCCTGATAGCGGCTGCCAAATCTTAGTAACTAAAGACCACGAAGGAGAGTTTTGTTTCACTTGCAGAATGAAATATAAGATGGAATACGAAGGCTTAAAGTCCTGTCCGTGCAAAGCAAATTCCGGATCAGGACAAGTCTATAGCAGAACATTGCACTTCATGATTCTAAAACATTTGTTTAACAAATTAATTCACAGTTTATCGGAAGGTACCATAATTACAGGCTCTTGGGGATTGAGAACTTAAATTAAAATAACTTAAAAAAATTACATCCATCAATCATAGGTTATTGCGGATTTCTAATTCTATTAAAATGGTCTTATAATCCAACACTCGTTCATATTCGGAATCGTTTACGATTTTAAAAAGTTTACATACATATATTAAGCCCTTAAAACTAAGAAAAAAACAATTTATAAACGCTGATTTCCTCCCATGAACTTGATCTAAATTACCCGACCATACTGTACTCTCATAGCTGACATAGATTGATTGTACTAAACGACTGGTTCTACATTGTTTTTGTGCTTTTATTTTATTTCCGCTGATTTGTTTAGCTATATGATTGAATAATCATTTAAATCGGAATAGATACGGCGAATATCGTTAATTTTTTTAATTGTTATAGTAAAACCCTACCGAAACCGCCTGCCCATTTTGTTACTTACTTCAAATCGAAGCACATTATTTTATCTCTTTTTTCAATTTTTGCATCGAAAAATCAGTTTAAATGTTAAGCCTTTTTTTTGTCAAATACACTCTTAACAAAATTTACCCTAAACCTTAGAAATTCGCCATAAAACTTTATTTTTTCTAAATACAAAACACAATTTCTAGTTTGCAAAAATGTGGTATATAGACAAAATATATAATATATCTCAACATGCTGAATTTGTATTTATTCATCTTGAATAAACATGTTTCATTTTTAAACATTTCTCTACTATTAAGAAAATTGTAAACATTATTTTAGGAAAAGTACCCTAGAATTTATGGTGGGTTGCCATTGATGACAAAAATGGGCCGAGTTTCTTGTTTTTAAAGTAAATTTTTTCTTATGAGTGTAATAGCGTATTTGATGTAAAAATGGTTAAAGCCTTTGTCTGCCATATCCTTCAAAATTACTTTTTGAAACAGCTTATCTGCTTAGAATCGTAGTGCAGTCGAATACTACAAAACTAAAAGAAATGTTTAAACAAGGGTCCCTATAGGGAAAAATGTCGAATTATTCATACTATACTTGTAACAAAAACAGTAATTTATATATAATATATTGAAAAATATTTAAATTGAATACAAAATACTTAAATTAACTACGTTTTTTTTTATCAGTGTACGAAAAAATCCACAATTGTGCTTAAATAGCTTCTGTAATTCATAAGAATGCCCTTGCATAGAGGATGTGTTCAACCTGGAGAGTTACCGAGTAAAATTTGATGTTGGGCATGATGTTTTTTTGCTTTTAAATTATTAGGCCACTGGTATATAAAATCTATTATATTTAATAATATATGGAATTAAAAAAATTTTCCTTCTGCTACGTTAACAATAAGTATTATAGTGTAGTGCATTTAAAGAAACACACGTCAAGTCAGTAGTCGAACTTCCATAACAACAGTCACCATCTTTTGCAACAATAGCTTTGAGTTGTAGACCAGATTTTACCACAATTTATAATCTCGATCTCTTCTGGGAAGTATAGAAACCGAGTTCAAGTTATGAAGAAAGAAGAAAGTTATCCTATATTGGTTTGTGTCCTCGGTTGGTGTCCGTTTAAGTCCGGCAACGCCATTTGAATGGGTAACTGGAATAATATTGTTTGGTGTGACCATTTTTCAAATATTGATTAAGTCAATATTAGAACGGAAAAACCTCGATTTTGCATCGTTGGCATCGCGGAGACATCAACCACTTTTATGAATAGCTAGCGGAGACATGCCCCGCAGTTAGCGAATTACTTTGCAGCAAGCGAAGTTGGCGGGAATCGATGTTTTCGATGTTTTTGGCGGAATATGTCAATGTTTGAAATAAATTCGGCTAGAGCGTGTGCCACCGGCAGATGGCGCCAAAAATGAAGTGAAGTTAACAGTGGCAAAAAAATATCGTTAGGGATGGGTAAAGACCAATGGGACCTATATTCTGAAAACATCGATGACATTGGTGTTGGCATTTAAGTTTCTCCACCTCAAACGGCGAATTTGCGAGCTTGTGGAGGGTTTGAGTATTCCAGCGAAATGTTAGCGAAGCGTCGAACTAACAAAGAGAGAGAGAGAGATGTGTTTCGTTAGGGATGGATAAACATCGACAATCCCTGCCAAACATCGATAGGACCGATATTTTGAAAAATCGATGATGGCATCGAAATTACTCCACCGCTAGCCGCCCCCCTCATTCTTTGAATCCCCGCCCACGAGCCAAGAAACGTTGCTGACGAAGAGTAAGTGCGAAAATCGGGGCCAAAAATTGCATAAGAACAAGACTGTGCCAAATCGAAATCGAAGTAAGCGAGACGTTCGATTGGATTCCCCGAAAATAGACTAAATTCACGTGTTCGTTTGCTTTGTTCCGTTTTGCGGTTAAATCCAGAGTCGTAAGTCTGCGGAACTGCGGGCACGCCGTTATGTAACCCAAAGAGGCGAGAAGCAGCTGATTGCCCAGCTACATATATATAATTAGATAAAGCACATGTGTGGTACGTAACTAATGGACGGTCTTTTGTGCCCTTTCAGCCGACCCAAGTATCCACAAAGAAAGCAAGATGTTCTCCAGCTTCTTCGAAACCGCCCGCAACTCGCCCTTCCGCAGCCCTCTGACGGCCGTGCGATGCGACGCCGCCGCCCCCTGGTGGATCCCCAGCCGGTAGAAGGTCGCGAGATCGCCGCCGCCGCCGCTCCGGTGGCCAACCAGCAGGACTCCTGCGAGTTCGGCAGCTCCAAGTACTTTGCCCTGTGCGGCATCGGCGGCATCCTCAGCTGCGGCACCACCCACACCTTTGTGGTACCGCTGGATCTGGTCAAGTGCCGTCTGCAGGTGGACCAGGCCAAGTACAAGAACCTGGTGCACGGATTCAAGGTCACCGTCGCGGAGGAGGGTGCTCGTGGACTGGCCAAGGGCTGGTTCCCCACCCTGCTGGGCTACTCGGCACAGGTGAGAAATGGGTCTTTCGTGGGACGGGGTTGCATAATTGTCTGGAGGCGGATTAAGCTTCCCCACTCGTGACTCGGTCTGGTGACCCTAATTACAGGTTTCGACACAGATACAAGAAGTGATCAGATCGATATCCGGTATTTTGATATATGTATATACATATATAATAAAAGTGTATAAGGGGGTTCTTTGGGAAAAAGTGCTCGGAATGCAAGAGCATAGATTTTGTTGCCCGAACCAATATACTATAACTATTAAACCAGATTAGATTCCCAATTAGTTAGGAAACAACAAGGATCTCAGAAATCTACAGGAAATGACACCAATCGAATGCAATCTTAGAACGGCGTGGGGTATAAACATAACTATTATAATATATCTACATGTATATCAAATTATTTGATATACATTTTATTCCATGGGCTAATTAAGTTGCCATGGTTACAAACAATTATTTTATCTAGAGTATTGATTCAATTATTTTTAAATATCACTTAGGCTAAATGACAGTTTAATCACGGTTTTAGAATGATGAAGTGGAATACAATTAAATTGCCTTTATGTGTTCTCTATAGGGTCTGTGCAAGTTCGGTCTGTACGAGGTGTTCAAGGTAAAGTACGCCGATATCATTGGTGAGGAGAATGCCTACCTGTACCGCACCTCCTTGTATCTGGCTGCTTCCGCTTCGGCCGAGTTCTTCGCCGACATCGCTCTGGCGCCATTCGAGGCCGCCAAGGTCAAGATCCAGACCATCCCCGGATTCGCCAACAACTTCCGCGAGGCCGTGCCCAAGATGCTCAAGGAGGAGGGCGTCAACGCCTTCTACAAGGGTCTGGTTCCCCTGTGGATGCGACAGATCCCCTACACCATGATGAAGTTCGCTTGCTTCGAGCGCACCGTGGAGTTGCTCTACAAGTAAGTAGCATTTGCTTTGGGGATTTACACTTGTTTTAGAGTCAATCATACAGTTGAAGATGATTTTCAGATCCGTCATATATTGATAGAGCTATCTATTAACATTACCAATACTGTTTTAGGGATTTTTAAAGTTTTCTTTAGCCGGCTCTTAAGCCTGGATAAAAAAATTCACCAATGTGAATTTGTTTATTTTAAGAAACGGATGTTTCAAGTTGATTAAGAAAAAATGCCGGATGCGTTGCTCTTTCTACTTATCCAATTGAAAGACTTCATTATCTAATTTACTTTTAGGAAAAATTATTTTTTTTTTCCTGTCTGCAGATAACTATTTC